AATTGAACAGGTGTACCTAATAAAGTCAGTGAGTGTGCACACAAGGGGCCTTTAAAAGATCATTTTATTAACAAACTAACCAAACATTTTAATCTGTTTATAGCAGAGTAAACCTGAACTTATGTGTTCTAATATGTATGAATGTATGAGCATGTAGTATTTAATGGAGTTCGATTGAAACTTATTCCAATGTGAAGCCAACCCTCTCTTGAGTATCATTGGAGAGTCATCTTCCACCATGACAATGCCCCTGCCCATTTCTCTCATCAATCAAGGGCAACATTATGAGAATTTTGGTGGAAAATCCAAATCAAATTCTTAGGACCTTCAGTTCTCTGGGATGGTATAAATGGCTGGTATGATCTCTTGCAGAGATGTCTTGGTATAGATGGCACTTATGTAGAAAAGCAATGGTTAATCTTAGAATTGTGTGCTTTTCATTTAATTTTTCCAAGTACATTTTGAATATCATATATATATATATATATATATATATATATATTTCTTGTTAGCATGATTAAAAAATAACATTATTCAGTCAAAGCTCCATAATCCCATTTTTGTTTGCTCATCATCAGTTGTAGCAATGCATTCTTACATAGTTGGAAAAAATGAATTCCTAAATGAAATTTAAAGAGTGTTATGTAATATTAAAGAAACATTATTTTTAAGTTAAATTCTTTTTAACAAGACCAAAACAAAAAAATCTACTTTGTTAAAGTACCACAATCCCATTTTTGTTTGCTCATCAGCAGTCATAGCAAATAATGTAATTAAATGATTATATTTATTATTACAATTATTAATTATTAATATAAATCTCCTTAAATGTTATTACAATAATTGTTAGTAAGTTGTAAAAAAAAAATTATTCCTAAATGGCATTTAAAAAGTAATATATATTAAAGAAACATCTCTTTGAAATTAGATTCTTGTTAACAAGACCAAAAAAAACTTTTGTCAAAGTGCCACAACCCCTTTTTTTGTTTGCTCATCATCAATCATAGCAATGAATGCTCACATAAAATCTTTCAAAGTCCAATCACTCATGAACATTTTTTTTGGTCGTTTCCTTTCATTGTTCCCCTTTGGTAATTAAGCCAACTGATTTTCCCGATAGCTGTTTTACACCATTGTGTTTTGATTTGGACGGATGTAACACTCGCCAAGTTATCTTTCCTTTTAATGAACAAAAGTTCCTGCCTTCAGTATACATAAGATGTCAGAGCACTTAGTGACCACTCTGTAGTCCAGCAGTGAAAGCATAGTCTTCGGTCATATGGAAATTATGGGCTACTAGAGAGCATTTGGGACTGTTATTTTGTTTGGAGTTTTCTCATGTACATCAAGGTAATTTAGAGAAGTACTTATTCATATTGTTAACTACTTGATATATTTTAGAACTTTTAAATATGTTTGCACATTCTTTCTTTCTTTTAAAAATGTACAAATTTGAAATAAGAAGTACAAAACTTTTTTTAAATGAGATTTTGTTGCTTTTTATATTAGAGAATTATTAATTTGTTTATATTCCTGAAATAATTTTTTACTACAGTTTATTTTATGCTTTATACCATGGCACCTACAAGGGTTCGTATTAATATTATTAATAATAATAATTTTTTTTAAATAATATTTTTTATTGTTATTATAACAATTATTTTCACTTTCTATGTGTGCATCATATATATATCTACATAGGCTTCAAATTTTACTTTTTTCTGTTTTTGATTTCTTATTGAAAATATATTATATTTGGATTTTTTCCAAGTTTTCCTCTCTATAAATATAATACAATGCATTTGACAAGTCCAGGAGCACTATGCAAATCCCAGTAATAACCAATAATCTTTCACTGTCTGAAACCCACAACAGCCAATCCTCTTTTACCACTTTGACTGCTCCATGTTGATGTCAGATGACCTAGCTGATGCCAGTGGTTATTGCACTGTGTATATCATCATTGCAGTTTGCATTACCTTACTAAAAAATATCCCTGCTATTCTAGTGGACATTTTTGCATCCTGGGCAAACAATTTGTAATAACACCTCCTTAAAGAAAAATCCAAGAATTCATGCCATGTTCCAATTATCCTAAATATTGCCATTTTATTACTCCCACACTCATGCCTGTGCTATCCTGCTAAATATATAAAAAAGGGTAAGAATCTGATATTCTTGAGCCTTCAAGCGCTGACTGGAAGAAGTCTCTCATAGTAACATGTGATTGCCCGGATGCAGAAAGTCAGTCCCCCTCAACACAGAGAAGCCCTCTGATAACTGGTGCAGTGTCCCATACAACCTTTCATGCAACTCTACGCCTACTAGTTATCTGAGGACTTCTCTGTGTTGAGGGGAACTGACTTCCTGCATCCTTGCAAGCACTAGTTACTATGAGAGATTCCTCCATTGATGCTGATGTCTGATGGGGTTATATCCTTCCATAGCGGGTCGATTGGAACTCCTTGATCTTTTTAGTTTTAGTGGGTTGGGGATTGTTTGGGTGGGCAGTGAGGATAGGGAAGTGTGTGTGTGTGTGTGTGTGTGTGGGGGGGGGGGGTATTGGAAGGAGAGGGGTCCTGATACCTTAGCCAGGTCTTTTGCAACTTTCAAATAATCAAGATCAAGGAAGTGAGCGCTGCAAACCATAAAATCTGACTTCTAATTTATTAAAACCAAACAATGCACAGACAGTTCATCTGGTGCTATGAAAGCCCCAGATAGCAATACAATCTGACATGGATTCAAATCCTTCCCTATTCTACCCAAAGCTAAGAAAAAACCTAGCTGAGTATATAATTTAATATGACAGTAGTAGCATCAATGGGTCTTAAAAGGGTATTCACAGAGATTCCATCTATATCAAATAAAAAACTATTTGTTCCTATTTCTAAATTTCACTTTAATAATATAAACCGCTCTCAAGCTTATTCTGTATATTAAGACCCATTTTATCAGATATTGTGCTAATTAATGTGTATTGTCTTCAATGCAGATGAGGGACCTGCAGGTCATTGTTACAGTGCTGGTCTGCTTGCTGATGCCAGGTAAGGCATATCCAGATGTAAATGATTTTATAATTGATATGAATTCACCAAACTATTTATTAAGAATACCTGTACACCTGTGACCAGCTTATTTATGAATGTGTCTAATCAGTCAATCATTTTGAAGCAGAACAATGCACAAAATCAAGCAGGTACAGATCCAGAGCTTCAGTAATGTTCACATTAAGAAACCAGAATGGGCAAATGGAAATGTTATTTCAGTGATTTTGCCCATGGCATGCTGTATGGACAGCTCAGTGTAGTATAGTGTGGCCTGTGTTAGTGTGTCAGGCAGCACAAATGTGCTATGAACACAGTTAGGAAACCAGAAAAACAGCAGCTTACAGTATAAGGACAAATATGGCTCATTCACAGGGCAATCTAGGCAGGATTCTAAGACCATTTGTATGCCCAAGGAGATTATCAGCTATATATGTCATGCTACTGCACAAGTCAGGGGGATAGCTCAGTTAGTCAAAGCAGGTGGATCTGTCTGTCACTTCAATAGGGAGAATGACTTCAAAACTAGTGTCTGATAAGTTCATACAGTTGTGCTCAAAAGTTTACATTACCCTGGCAGAAATTGTGAAATTTTGGCATTGATATTGAAAATATGACTGATCATGCCAAAAAAAAATGCTATTTTATTGAAGAATGATGATTATATGAAGCCATTTATTATCAAATAGTTGTTTGGCTCCTTTTTAAATCAAAATGATAACAGAAATCACGGAAATGGCCATGATCAAAAGTTTACGTACCCTGGAATGTTTGGCCTTGGTACAGACAAACAAGGTGACACACACGGGTTAAAATGCCAATTAGAGGTTAATGTTCCACATCTGTGGCTTTTTAAATTGCAATTAGTGTCAGTGTCTAAATAGTCAATGAGTTTGTTAGCTCTTACGTGGAAGCACTGACTAGGCTAGATACTGAGCCATGGGGATCAGAAAAGAGCTGTCAAAAGTCCTGCGTAACAAAGTAATGGAACTTTATAAAGATGGAAAAGGACATATAAAGATGTCCAAAGCCTTGAATATGCCAATCAGTACTGTTAAATCACCTATTAAGAAGTGGAAAGTTCAGGGATCTCTTGATACCAAGCTAAGGTCAGGTAGACCAAAAAAGATTGCAGCCATGGTCTACCTGACCTTGGCTTGGTATCAAGAGATCCCCAAACTTTCCACTTCTTAATAGGTGATTTAACAGTACTGATTGGCATATTCAAGGCTTTCGACATCTTTTTATGTCCTTTTCCATCTTTATAAAGCTCCATTACCTTGTTACGCAGTTTTGACAGTTCTTTTCTGATCCCCATGGCTCAGTATCATGCCTAGTCAGTGCTTCCATGTAAGAACCCTTGTGTGTCACGTTGTGTGTCTGTACCAAGGCCAAACATTCTAGGGTATGTAAACTTTTGATCATGGCCATTTGGGTGATTTCTGTTGTCATTATGATTTAAAAAGGAGCCAAACAACTATTTGATAATAAATGGCTTCATATGATCATCATCCATCAATAAAAGAGCATTTTTTTGGCATGATCAGTCCTATTTTCAATATCAATGCCAAAATTTCACAATTTCTGCCAGGGTATGTAAACTTTTGAGCACAACTGTACTAGTATAGATAATGCAAATGGGGCAGCTTCCCTGTGCCTATTGCAATCCTTGTCAATCGAAGGGATGGGGGTTGCCAAAGCTACTATGTTGCCTAAGAATCATAGTAAACTTTGTTGGGACTACTCATGCTCTAGTCTGCAAATAGGTTTAGTTATATTGTCCTATCATTGGATTTTCATATCTCTTTATTTAAATGTGCAATCCTAGGAACTCCACTGGATGTATTTGGAAAGCCAGATTGGTCATTACTCTCACGATGCAGTCTCTTTGGAGAAAACCACATTAGAACATTTGATGGAACTTTTTATGACCTTGTTGGAGACTGCAGCTACATGGTGGCCGGAGACTGCCATAAACATACCTTCTCCCTTCAAGGTATGTGTAAATCATTGACATGTTCTTTTGGCTCATCCACATAGCAATATTTGTCAATATAAATTTTTATTACTTATTTGATGTACAGTTGTTTTAATTGAAAGCACCTTGGTCATGTATTTGTGATAAAAAGTTCAAGTGAAAGAATGGCCCCAATGCTTAGCAGAGAGCTCCTCTAGACATTTCAAGAAATTCACATAGTGGTCCAGAATATTTCACACAGAATGGAATATTTTATAGCTAATGCTGTGTATTTTACAATTTCAGTGGACTACAGATATGGTAAAAAGAAGAGCATCTCAATGTATCTGGGAGAATACTATGACATTCATATGTTTTTTGATGGAACGGCAACTGCAGGAGAAAAGAGGTAAAAGGAACAGAATTAGTTTATGTACCCTGTGATTTCTGTTATGAGATGCTGTAACAGTTTTTTTTCAGTTGTGAAAGTGAAATGCACAGCATATTTGCACATTATAGCATACTTACCTATTAGTTCCTCCGTCACTTGCCACTCCAGGTTGAGGACACTGCTCCATCTTCTCTGCCTCTTCTGGGTTCTCATATCCCTCTCTTTTGGCCATTGATTGTACATGGGATTTTCAGTGTTTCTGCCACCTAGCTCCATTCTCTTACAGATGATTGAAATTAGTCAGGGATGTACCCTGCACTGTGCCCCAGGTAGTGTACACAAAGTAAAAAATTGCTAGAAGGAAGATAAAAAGGCATGGTTCTGTCATTTGTTATGGAAATTAGCCCATTGACGAGTGTGTGTTTTGATTAATATTTTTCAGTGCATTTTAACTGGGTATATGTTTCAAATACAGTGGTTTAAAATGGGATTACACTATGCTGGTTATTCTTATCTCTGAGCCATAGTACATCCCTGTTTGTGAGTATTAGAAGTGGAGCCATTATAAGAATGTATGATTAGAGCCTTTATTACTTATAAAGTTGGTGAGTGTGGTATCTTAATGGGATTGGAAGTCGCTAGAAGCACAGTAGTGGATATAGTTATTCTTGGTGAAGTGGACTATAAGACGATTGTTTGGGATCATCACTTGGACTTTATTTATTAACTTTTTGCATTATCAATTTACCCAGTGGTGGACTTTCTATATTTACACATTTAGCACTGGGTGGTTAGTGCTTGCGAAATAAGTCACCTCATTGTAAGATTTCCGCTCTATCCTTTTTCTGCGGACAGCCCAAAATTTGGGGTTTCTATTACCTTCACTTAAAATGATAATAGTAAACAGGACAAATAGAGAGGGTGAATCTCCTTAATGGGGCCACAGATAGCAATGAAAACTGAGAAGCGCTCTAATCCCTCGCCACTCTATTCAAAACTGAAGAAAACTTCTGTCTTGAAGTATACTTTAAAGGCATAACAGGGATACCATGCAACAGCATGTAAATGCATCTACAACCTAAAGTTCTGTGATACAGGGAGAGAACCAGTTTTAGGTGTAGGGCAATAAGGATTCTGGGTAGTCCCAACTATATACTGTACCCAGTGGTAAGAGATAAACTGACTTTGTATCAAAACAGGTGTTGCAAGAAAAAAAATGTTGGTGCTTCCACCTAAGGCTATATTTGTCAGGGACATACACAAAAATATCTGTGCTTATGTAGCGCCCTCCTAGGTAGCTAGGGGGAGCTAGAATCCAGTGGTTAGACATGGGCTGAGCAGCAGCCCAGGTGTAATAGCCAGACTGGGGTCAAATTATGGTCAAGGCTGAGAGGCTCTGCAGGCCAACCCCTCTATAATTTCCCCCTGCTCTGGAGCTTTGGAGGGAAGCTCTAGAGGCAGTGGGGGATCCGAGGAGTGGCTGGCTGCACTCTTGAAGGGCCTCAGCCAATCCCCAACAGAAGGCTTGGCAAGGGGCTGGGGATGTGTTGGAGCCTGCTCAATAGTAGGAGAGTTTGGGTGGAAGGTGGAGAAGCGAGGCTGTGATGCACGAGCCTGGGAGGGAACCCAAGCCAGAAGGAGCTCACCTCCAGGCAGAGGGACCTTGAGGGGAAAAAAGTTGTGGGTTTCATTGGTCCCCTGAGAGAGGACCACCTGGTGGCAGGGAAGGACCGGCCCAGCTGATAGGCCTAGTAGCAGCCACCTACCCAACAGCAGCACAGAAGGACTCATTGAGTACTCCTACACCCCCTGGGCCAGAAAGGGAGAATTTGGGTGGGAAACCTGACTAGCTCTACACCCAGGACTGTTACTAAGTGGCAGCTTGGACTCCCTTGCCCAGGTATTTTTCCAGACAAGCTGCATAAAAAAGAGGATTTATTTGGGGTCTGGGGTGGTACACCAGGAGAGGCTGTCTAGTTCTCCTAAAAGAGGATTTCTGTGTAAAGACTTGTAATATAGTTCAGAAAGTTTTGTCTTCTGTTACCATCACCCTTGTGGATCCCATACACCCTTTACCATGTCCAAGTTTTACATCCCCAATAAAACTTCAAAGCAAAGCTCAAGGACTGGTTTTCTGTCTCCTGAAGTAAGTCTGAATGGAAAATGTGCGGTGTCTGGCTGTGCAGCACTATAGGGGGACCCAATTCATCAGCAACTCCATGGGGGTAGTGCTACACTTACTAAAGTGAAACTGTTTGGTGGCATGAACTATACATTTTTGTTTAATGTCGGAGACAGTGGGGAAGAGTTAACGCATCTGTGTGATTTATATTTCGGTCTGTGACCCCATTGGGGAGATTTTCCCTCATTCTCTGTCTCCGTGACTAAAATATAAGAAATGAGGAGAGCAGTTTTCACTTGGACAGGAAGACATGAACAGTGTCAGACGTTCTAGCCCTTCCACAGTCTACTAACATGTGCTTTTGTTTTTGTCTGGGTCCCTGTTGGAGAAATTTCTCATTACATCCTGACCAGTTTTGGAAAGTCCTCCAAAAGGAATACAGATGGCAGTATAAATGTGGCAGAGGTTCTAACTCTTCCCTATTCTGTCCAAAACTAAATAGAACACTTCATCTGGAGGTGGGCTTTAGGAATTACTTGTTCTTGCTGCTATATGACTGTTAGGCCTCACATTTGAAAGAGTCTAAAAGACAGAATGGTTGTGTTGCCCTTTAAGGGGTCTTTCCTACACTAATCTGTCATCATGACTGTGTTTGAAGAGGATAAATGCTCCTCTGAGAAACACAGACATTTTCTGCCTCCAACATACTTTGGAAGCTGACTACATGGGAACAGTTTGTTGAACTTTAGCTTTGAGGGGCAGCCATCTTGGAAAGCAGCAGTGATAAACAAGTGCAGAGGGTTAGAAGGGATACAGAATAGAATGTTCTATGTTTTGGTACTTTGAATGACAGTTGTTTTCAATAATGGGCAAGTGGTTGGCTGCTTTCCCTTCAATCCTAACAGCATTTCCATGCCGTATGCCTCTAATGGAATATACTTGGAAAACGAGGCCGGATATCACAAACTGTCTAGTCACGAACATGGGATAATGGTGAAGATTGATGTGAGCGGAAATGTGCAAATTGTGTTTTCGAATGAACATTTTAATAGAACGTGCGGTCTTTGTGGTAACTTCAATCAGTTTGCAGAAGATGATTTTTTGACTCAAGAAGGTAACTGGGTCTTTTTTTTTTATCATGTGATGCATGGTGGCTGCTTAGTGAAATAACCTGATGTAATATGTACACCGTCATAGTGTCTGGCCCACTGTTTATTAAAATAATCTGTTCAGCATAAGGTAACTTTGTATGTGATAGAAGAGAGAATATACTTACCTTTCCAATCGCCACTGTTGTCCATATGCCACCTTTATGCTTCTCCCCAGTAGCTATACTATTCAGTTGGTAGTGGTGCCTCCTGCCAGCTAGTCTTGTCGTCAACTATGAGCAAGCAGATGTGTCCTGATGACTGGTGCTGATAACAGACAGGAACTACAGGCCAGACAGGGGACACAGGACATTACATAACAAGAGAGATATAGGGAAGGATGAGGATGTCTACTTTTAATGATTGAGTTTCAACAAATATTCTAAAAGGACAGAGTAAAGCAAAGAATGCATCTTGCCTGTTTTACTACTTTTCAGGATGTCCAGTTCCAGGATGTCAGATTTTCATGTTTCAGGATTGTGGAAATCTGCGATAAAACTTCACAACCCCAGACAGGGCAAGCATATAATGGATGTGCACAACCAGTAATACATACTATTCATATGTAAAAAGTATAATTTGCCTGGAGATACACTTGAAAGTGTATCAGTCCTAAAATGCAGCCATTGCATTTTAATTTTTTTGGGGGGTTATGTGCCAATAGTATAATTTCAGCCTAAGGCTAAGTTTACACTGGCGCTGAAACCAGGTGTTTGAGGCGTGTTTTTAACGCTCCTCAGATGCCTATGAAAATGATACTATGCTGTTCACATTATCAAAACATTGAGGATTAGCGAATCTTTGCTTCGATTCAAAACTAAAGAATCATGTTGAGTCTGGAGGAGTTTGAAGCCTTTCAATGCCTCCCATTCAAGTCTATGGTAACGTGCTAACAGACATTTGCGAGACAGTTGTGATGTGGTTGCAGCGGGTTTAACAACATTACAGTGTATTATAGGTGTTTGTGGTGCGATTTTAAAACTTTAACGAGCATCAAATGCACCAAAAACCCACATAGGGCATTTGAGGGGCGTTTTTAACATGTGTTAAATGTGAGTCAGATGCACCTATTAATGCTCATTAACACTGTATGTGGGTTTGTTAAGAGTTAGCATTTTTAGTCAGGTGTAAACAAGCCAGTGTGACAATGTTCACTCAGCTTTCTGTATCTGGACAACAGAATCAGGATAGAGCTACTGTTGGATTTTTTAGTAAGTAGTGCATAGTACAAATGTTCATTTCACTTATAAAGTCTTTTAAAACGTTTATTGGTAAAAAGCATCAGATACAGCCAATGTGTTATGGGGAAAGATACCCCCTTCTTCAGACCTTGAGCAACAGATTACAATGGAGATAAATTATACTAGAAGACCTGAATTAAGGCTGGATTGAGGTAATAGCAATGGAAATAACTGGGCCTGATGCTTTTTACCAATAAACATTTCAAAAGACTTTCTAAGTGAGAGGAACATTTGTACTACGCACCTCTTACTATACATCCAAGAGCTGATCATCTGTCAAGCAAATTATGTATCAAGGTCAGAGAGGTGGCAGCCTAGGACCAGGACAAGGTCCGTGCATACCAAACATTAACTGTGCATTACCCTCCTCCAAGTAGAACCTTCTCCACTGAACAACTATGTATTCACTAGACGCAATTCCCATCTTTAACAGTCCAGTGCTATCATAGACTTACACAGTAGGACTACGGAACCATGCCCTCCACCTTTTCATCATAACATGGAGGGGTGTGGTTCTGTAATTCTCAGTGAACATAGTAATTAATAAGAATCAGTTCAGGCAGAAAGTTATCAGCTCACTTTCTGGCAGGATCTACAGGTATTTTTTTATCTTGTCAAACAGACATAGCAAAACATTTTCACTTTAATATTCAACAGACTAGAAGTGACAAAATCTGAAATTCACTAATAGGGCTTTCACAGACTTTAACAAGTTAAAGTTAGCTATAGATGGGTCAGTTTTTTTGTTCAACCAGGGGGTTAAAGGAAAAAAACTCACCCGATTCCTGCATCCATGTCAAATGTGTGGATGGGGGCAGGGGTGGACGGACAACTCATTGGGCCCCCCGGGCAATAGGGGATCATGGGGCCCCTGTGTCCTTGCCCAAACTGAAAAAAAGCCTATGAAAAAGGTACCAGGGGCATCTCATGGGGCCCCCTACTGACCACGGGCCCTCGGCAGTGCCCGAGTTTTCAAATGGTCAGTCCGCCCTTGGATGAGGGAATCCTCCCCGCTTTGGCATTGTATTCTGACATTGGGGGGGGGGACTTTCCTACTATCAGAATAAAATAATCAGTGCTGCAGGCTGTATATAGCCTGCAGCACTGATCGTGCGGAAATTTTTTCCTTAGGCCGGTTGATCAAAAATAGGTCAGCAGATCAACTTCTGTTCAAAATCAGTGCCCAGACATGGATCTAAATTTGCTCAGTCACTGCTGAACTGGACAAACTTCGATCCATGTATGACCAGCTAATAGCTTATATGCAATTTCAGTGATTGGATTTACACCTACTTTAAGTTTACTTGGAATACCTGCCTTATAAACTTCTAATGAAATCGATCATTGCCTGACTCTAAGGAAGCACATTAGTACCCAAACAATTAAGCTGAATCAAAAGATTCCACCTGAGATAGCCTTAGATAACCATTACTGTGGAGTCCATTCAATATCCAATCATGGAACCGTCTGTACTGTATACTTTTAATAGTACTGAGAAGGAGGATTCAGATTCACTGAATAATTTGTGTTTGCTTATATAACATGGTTTAAAAAATATAGTTGTGCTTTGACATTGCATGAATAAGCAAAAGTTTATTATTTTAAACCTGAGTTACCTTCCGCCCAGGAATAGGTCTACGGGGGTCCCATATGCATTGAGTAGATAATGAAGATTGGATGGCTGCCACAGGGTCATGGCTACTGTCCAATCAGAGTTATGAAAACATTGCACCAAAAGCTGCATCCATCAGTTTTTATAGACCTTTCCAGATACTGAACAGGAGTAATTCTTATTTTACTAAAAGCCCTTTGCTTTGCTTGAGTTAAAAAAAATAGGAAATAAATTCCCCTCACTTTACTAAAAATAATTAAAATAGAATAAAAGGACCTACTTATCCTCTTGAAGTGGACCTAGCAACAGATATATTTTTTCATGTTATATGCAAATTAGTAATGGGCAAATTTAACGAATATAGGAATTTATTACCTTTTAGAGTTTACAGTATTCCCTCTGGAAATACCTTCATCTCCTTTTCTCTCAAGAAGGATGTCACCATCTTTTTTTTCAAAACTTTTCAAAAACCCTTTGAGGTTGGGGAGACTGAACAAATAAAAAGAGCAATAAATGTAGTGAACCCAGGCAAAACAGCTAATCTTGACTTGGCAATATTTGCCCACTCTTCCTTGCAAAAACACTCTAAATCAGATTGCGAGGGCATCTCCTGTGCACAGCCCTCTTCAGATCACCCCACAGATCTTTAATCGGAAATGATTTAATGATTTATATTTGTCTCATTATTTGACATCACAGTAACCTGACATTTTAACAGGGGTGTGTAGACTTTTTATATCTTATATATATATATATATATATATATATATATATATATATATATATACACTATGTTGCCAAAAGTATTGGCCCACTGATTAAAATCATTGGATTCAGGTGTTCCAATCACCTCCATGGCCACAAGTGTATAAAATCAAGCACCTAGGCATGCACACTATGTTATGGAAAGGCAGGCGGCCCAATACTTTCAGCACTATATTGCCAAAAGTATTGGGACGCCCACCTTTACATGTACAGGAACCCTAATGGCATCCCAGTCTTAGTCCATAGTTTTCAATATTAAGTTGGACCACCCTTTGCAACTATAACAGCTTTTTTGGGAAGTCTGTCCACAAGGTTTAGAAGTGTGTCTATGGGAATGTTTGACCATTCTTCCATTTGTGAGGTAAAGCACTGATGTTGGATGAGAATGCCTGGCTCACAGTCTCTGCTCTAATTCATCCGAAAGCTGTTCTGTCGGGTTGAGGTCAGGACTCCGTGCAGGCCAGTCAGGTTGCTCCATCCCAAACTCACTCTTCTATGTCTTTATTGAGCTTGCTTTGTGCACTGGTGCGCAGTCATGTTGGCACAGGAAGGGGCCATTCTCAAACTGTTCCCACAAGACTGGGAGCATGAAGTTGTCCAAAATGTCTTGGTGTGCTGACACCTTAAGAGTTCCCTTCACTGGAACTAAGGGGCCAAGCCCAACCCCTGAAAAACAACCCCACACCATAATCCCCCCTCCACCAAACTTTATACTTGGCAATGCAGTTAGACAAGTACTGTTCTCCTGGCAACCGCCAAACCCAGACATGTCCATCAGATTTCCGGACAGAGAAGCGTGATTCGTCACTCCAGAGAACACATCTCCACTGCTTTAGAGTCCAGTGTTGGCGTGCTTTACACCACTGCATCCGACGCTTTGCATTGCACTGATGTAAGGCTTGGATGCGGGTGCTCGGCCATGGAAACCCATTCCATGAAGCTCTCTACGCACTGTTGCTGTGCTAATATGAAGGCCACCTGCTGTTCGGCGGTCTTTAGCTATTGACTCTGCAGACAGTTGGCAACTTCTGCTCACTGTGCACTTCAGCATGCACTTCCTTACTGGGCATAAATCTAACAAACTTCTATTCTACACTTTTTGAGGCTAATTACCCAGCAATTCTTTCTAAACTTAAACTTCTCTCCTGGGCCTATTATGGCATTTCATGGCTAGAAGGCACTGCGGCTGTAGAAATAACCTACTTACGTAACTTACTATATTTATTTAGTATCAATCCAGACACCTAACTCCACCATGATCGAAATTCAAAGCCAGGTAATGCACTTCATATGGCACAATTGAAAACCCCAAATCTCATAGCATGTGCTATTCCAAACCTGATCCTGCAGAGACTTGAGCGACTGTCTCAATTAACAAAATACCAAGCTAGTTAGGAAACCCTACTGTGGGTTAATTTGAAAGCAGAGGATTGTGCCCCCCTGTCTATACACAACTTAATGTGGTTACACCCTCAAGATAGATCTTCTATCTCTAACCCTCTCTGCCAACCTTCTCTGCAGGTTTGGAATGACATCAAGTACTGGGAGATCTACAGATACTTCACCTACCAGTGTTATTAGTTCTTCATAACCCTGCTTTTGCACCTGGCTTTGAGTCACCGCATGTTTTCAAATACTGTATCACCATAAAACTGACCCATTTCCATATGCTTGCGTCTGCCAATGGCAGACCTGCATATATCCCATTCCCTTCCTCAATCTGAACTGTTTAGATTTCAAGTCAAGTATTATCTCTCTGCCACATTCAGAATGTGAGGAGGTAGATTGGCCCCTACCCTTTTGAAACCGAAATGTCTACATGACCCTCACTCTCTGAGATTGATTTCACTCTTATTCAATACACTAATTTCCAAATTCTCCCAAGATACTTTCTCCTATGTACGTAATTGGGAAGAGGATTTAGATGTACATTTGGACCAGAGGAATGGAACCAAATTTGGTACACAACCAAGTCCTGTTCTCGAGCTGCTGACTCCAGACCACCAAAAAATTCCTTCTGGGATGGTATATGGCGCCAGTTAGCCCACGAAACAAATAATCGCAAAAGCTTGGCTAACTGACCCCTTATCTATATGTGAAGGTAAATCTTGTATACAGTGGGTATTGAGTAAAGAAAAACTCACAGTCAAAATAAAGGGTAATAAAATTTTAAAATTCCATTAGGTTTGGGAACCCTGGGTCTCTCATTTCCTCTTAACAGATTTTGAGCGTTGTTTTCAAGAAATTTGATGTATGTAGAGATTCCTAGTGGGGACCACACTATATGTTGTAGACCCTCTGGCCACCCCCCCCCCCCCTCACCTCTCCCTTCTTTTTCTTTTCCCCTCTTCCACCCTTCAAAATTTCTTAAGTTTTTCTGGCTTCACCTCCATTCTCCTTCTCTTCCTCTTGAAATATGATTATGTTTCTTGCTATTTTGGAACTAAACCCAAACCAAGGAATTATTTGTTGTTTTTACATATTTCTCCTACAAGGTTGAAAATCCTTTTTGCACTATTATACTTGTTTGATGTACACTTCAATGCCATGATGCACATTTGGATGTTTTATTTTATGATTCTTTTTAACTGCCTTATTGTATGTTCTACTTCTGTGCTTGAAATTAATAAAAAGATTGAACAAGAAAAAATTGATATCCAGTGTGTTTTCAAGGTTGTATAACCACCTCCCTTCATCAGGGCTTAAATTACTAAAGCAGTGACTGGAGTGAGCTGTAACTGTGGTGTGCCGGATTTGCTGGGCGCTGACATTTCAGCCTGGTGGAAACCAATATTCAGCCATTTTTATTGGCCAGGCAAAGATTACATCACATACGCAGATTCATTCACCTTGACAATGCTGAAATTGTACTCTGAGCTGCATGTAAGGAACTTTAAAGCAGAAGAGACTTAGTGGGGGAGATTTACTAAAATTGGAGAACTCAGAATCTGGTGCAGCTGTGCATGGTAGCCAGTTAGCTTCTAACCTCAGCTTGTTCAATTAAGCTTTGACAATAAAACCTGGAAGCTGATTGGTTTCTATGCAGAGCTGCACCAGACTCTAGGACTAAAAAAAATATCCATTCTGATTCTTCTAGCCACCATGGAAGAGGATCTTTACATAACAACTGAAACACAGGAGTTGATTTACTAAAGGCAAATATACTGTGCACTGCAAGTGCAATTGCTCTGAAATGAAGGGAAGCTCTGCTGATTTCTTTCATCCTATCATGTGAATGCAAAAATACTATTTTTTATTTTCCTTGCATGTGATTGGGTATTCTTTGCAAAGCAAAGTTTTCCCTCATTTACTAAGCACTGGAGCAAGTGCACAGTATATTTGCCTTTTGGTAAATCAACCCATTGCCTGTCATTCTTCTAAAGACACCTTGAAGCGATTCTAAAGGTTAATTTGTTGTTTTTTTTTTTTTATAAATAACACACATGCTATACTTACCTGCTGTGTGCAATGGTTTTGGCCTTTTCTTCCTCCGACTCTAACAAGATGGTTATTTCCGTGCCCTGTCGAAGCTGTACTGTTGTTGTTTTGAAACTATGGTACACTCCCCATCATCATTGTAAACTTTCATATTTTAATACTAACCTATTTTTTTTTCAACACAGGCATTATAGCAGAAAAGAGCTACGAATTTGCCAATTCTTGGGCACTACATGGGGGTGATAGGAGATGCAAAAGGATTTATCCAACCAGTAACACCTGCAACATTTCATCAGAAGCAGCAGAAAAGGTCTGTCTCATTATCTGCTTTATATTCAGTCTGTGTACTTGTATCTCTATGCTGGCCATACATGGAATGAAAATCAGCTTATGTTGAGCGAAATAAACTGACCCATGTATGGCCAGAATAACCCTTCTCCACTCTATCCAAAGTGAAATAAAAAATCTTGACTGGAGTTGAGATTTAAAAAGACCTTGTCACCAAACCCTTTATTTCAACAACAATCTTCCCATAAAATTATATGTGCATATAACATATTCTAGGCACATTTTTTACATGTATAAAACCTTCCTTTTGTAGATGTTATCTATGGGTATCAGTCAAATGAGCCAGTGCAACAATGTACAGGACTGTGTAGGAGTAGTTCCCATAAACGCCTCTAGGTATCTAACAGAACAGAGTATAAGAAGAAATGACTAGTAATAAACAGCACAGTTCAGTCTAGTGCAAACATAGATACTTTGATTCTCTTTGGGGTAACAGCTCTCTCAACAGGGGGTTGGCTGTAGCTAGTAGTCCAGGTGGTCAGCTTTTAGGGATCTCCAAACAGGCTCCATAGAAGGAGTGTGGAAGGAGTCTTTGGTCTGGGTATTTAGGTAGCAGCAGATGTGAAAATTAGGGGCCATGCCACTGTAAAGGAAGTATTCTGGGGCCAGCTAGCACAGTGGCCACCACAATGACTGGGCCTTGAGATGAAGCAGTATACTCTTGTGCTCTCATCCAGTAGCAAGCATGCTAGAAACAATGAAGGAGGACCCACCGCTTGGTGACAGCTAACATGTCCAGCCCCTGCAGTCCCATCAGGCAAAGCCTCTTTGAGCACCTGAGGGTGGAACCTGTGAAATTATGTGCATGTCCAGGGGCGCTCAAGGGATTGTGGAAGCCCACTGTATTGTGGTATATTTTAATGAAAAGGGCCTACACCCACTTCCGAACATGGTGGGTAAAGAGGAACTTCACTATTTAGACATCCCGAGACTGACGCTAGGCACTACTATTTTAAAGTGATGTCACCAGCTTCAGTTGTTAATCAAGTGACATGCTATAGTTTTCTCCTTCACTTCTTCTGCCTTCAGTAACATGAAAAGGTATGTAAATAGGTGAGGGCTGAGACACTAGATCAGCACATGCAGTAATTAGACATGCCCAGAAGAGGATGGGCTGTGAAGTGCACCAAGGGAACGTCTGTGCTAGGGAATTAAATCTTCCTAAAGACATAACATTTGTTGGCAAGTACAAAGGAACATTGCAAGTGAATAAAAATTGTTTAAGGAAAGAAAAGCTCTCAGATAAGCAATACAAAATATTTAATTTATCTGTGCTTTTACCTGCAACTATTGAAGTTGATGACAGGGTCTCTTTAATACTAAAAAGGCCAATACCATAATTACACTTTATAAAATAAGTGCACACCACCAGTGAAGTAATTATTGTATTAAAATATAAAGCTTTGTCAAAATGTAAGAATAAATCTTTCAGCTCTTTGTATGTAAATAGAAGTCTTTGTTTATGAGCATCACTTCTAGGAATGCATATCGATGTCCTCTAAACACTCGGCCTTTCTGAGGGTGTCCACATGCCAAGCATTTTACACAATAAGACTAGTTTTGCTGTTCCATCTTCCTACGCAAATGGAATATTTCTATCATAGTGTTAGCAATCTATTTTCAGATTGGAGCAAGTAGGATCCGCCAACGATGACCTTGACCTCAGCTGCCCAGTATAGCCTCTTCTTGTCTATTATAACTTGTATACCAGGACAATGTGGCATTCATGAGCTGACTTATAGATTCATTATTGGCGCATGCAGTGTATCAGTATTTGAGGAAAATTCATAGTGCGGCTTTAAATTGGGATTAAAGTCCTGTACACAAAAAAAAAAAATTCTATCAGGTAGGCTTTCATTGTACATGAGAGTCTTGACTGGGGTAGAAAAGATGCCTTGACCAAACTGCCTGATCCCAACTCCCCCAACCACTATAGTGAATGGACCAGACATGACACAGACTGGAGTTTAAATGGTCATAGCAACTTTTTATTAACCAAATATAAATAACATATAAACATATCAATATATGAACATAAAGTGTTCAAGGGGCCCAAAGGTCCTTGTGGGCATGTACTTCAATTACCTGCATACACCACCATTTTAGGCCTCCAGCTGCAGAAAACATGGACTCAGAGACAAACCAATATCGCAGGTAACATCAGCCAGTATAATGGGAGCTGTACCCAAGATGTGTCCCTACAAATGTACCTTTTTGCCCCTAATCATATCACTTTTAAGGACCTTGTGCCTCGCCAGCTGCTATGACAGGACACTGATCCCATTTCCTGCAAAAAGAGACCTTACAAAAACAAACAACCCTACCTCTAAGGGAGTGGAGGTGGGAAGTTGTCCCATCTAGGTTCTCTTCTGTTTGAACACCTCTGCAACCTCCCACATTCCCAGCTACTAAGGCTCCACCTGCTCCAGCCCTGTCTACCAATCCAGTGAATACCACCTAAAACATATTTACATTTAATCCCCCAATGACTCCTCCTTTGCCCAGGCTAGGCTTTTTTTCTTTTTTACTCCGGGCCTTGCCATAAAAGCTTCTGCCTTAACCTACCAACAATTTTCTTCTGCTAGTACACTGAACCACGCAATCAGTAGTTAGTGAACAATCTTTTTTTTTTTTTTAAATTCTCTCTATGAATCTTTTGGTATTAAAAGAGAGTACAAAACAAAGCCTATGGGCATACCCAGGCTTAGATAATTACATAGAAAAAACACATATGTTAGGGAAAAAAAGTGCAATTGGCACTAAAAACAAATACTTGGAGTTAGTGAACAATCTTGGCATGCCTTGGGTGCCAGGACAAATTAACAACTGTGCACATGCATGGGAAGTCACATCATTTTGGGCCGTTTGATTAAGATGCCCAAAGAAACTGAATTTTAAGAAGAATCAGCCAAGATGTCAGTGAAAGAGTGACAAGGGAGATCTCGGACGCTACATTGCTGGAAGAGGGTGTTTTAGCAGTTAAGAGAGCATCTTAAGCCCATTTACTTGGCAATAAGGTCTCAGGCACATTCACCTGAGGGAGTAATTCTTTTCTCAGGATATACAGAATGATGGACTGGTCAATAATGCATAGAGAACAGGAACAAAGGTGGAGGGAGCACAGGATACCTGAGGGTGTCTATACAGAACACAGTGACTGGTCTTAAGCACATTTTTTACTTTTCAGGGTCCCTCTCTCATGGCTATGCTGGCTGGACAGTTAAAGCAGAGTCAAATGCATGGATTAAACTGTTTCCCAGAACAGTTATATTTAAGGCATCCCATTGGTCACAGCTTTCACAGTTGCCACTGTGGTTATGTCAGCTCTTAACCAAACTTTCAAGCCCTCAAATGGCTGGTGTTATAGCCAATCGCAAAATGACACTATCCTTGGCTGTGGAGAGTGTGAAGCGGTGCAGCGTGGTGTGGTGGTAGTAATCATACAGAGTCCCTTTGCAATAAACTTAAAACTTGTTTTGAGTAGAACGCCAAAGTTACAAACACTCTAGCGGGAGAGCACTCATAGTTCAGTGTAGTTCACAAAGTGGCTGAGGAGAGATGCTGACAGCGTCTGTCTCAAAGGTAGGAGAGTGCGGCCTGGCCGGTTTGGTGCAAAGCAAGGAGGCTTCCTTACAAGATAGTGAGTCCCTAACCTGTCCCTTCTCATCTGGAACCTCACCCTACCACTAAGTACTTTTCCTTGCAAGTGGGGTATCTCTCCCTATCTTAGCCAATCACAGAAAAGCACGCCAATTCCCAGGGGCAGGGAATTATATAAACACAAGATGGCCACCAAGAGTCACATGGCTGCAACATAGCAAACGCTGCTCCATTGACCCAGGAAATCATAGAGAAACTTTGTTTCCCTCGACTTCCTCTCCAGTCTGTGGTACCACTCAGTTCTGAGTGTCATCCATTTTGGAGAAAAGCAAACTGCACCTGCCTACAAAAGTTTAGTTACAATTTAAATTTAAAATGTGGCTCCTTGACAACTGACATTCTAGTCTTAGTATTTGATGCAGCACAGGTTAGTAAGGTTTTTGTGTTGAATTTACACTCAGTCGGTCAGTCACCACCTCCATTGTGAGAGACAACTGTAATTTGCTTCCTCTATGGCCAGAGTAAAACATCCATGGCAGATGGTAAAGATAGATCCTACAGAAACATGCTCTCCAGGTGACAGTCCAGGAGGGACCACCATGTTCTAGGAGGTGCCTCCAGATATGTATTGACTCTCCCATCAGCAGACCTGAATCCTGCTGATTGGGTAGGGCATCAAATGTCCATAATACAGAATGTCACCCTTAGCACACCCTGCTAGAGCTAACTCAGACAGCAAGTGACTGACATGAGTCACTCCATACTTAGAGAACACCAGCACACACTTACTGACAAACTGTTTAAAGCTCTCTGCTTTCTACAGAATCGCCAAGATACAAAAAATAATTTGGAAAAATACTTTCCACATATTTGCACATTATGGCAAGAGCCCACCCACCACAACGTAGACTTCAATTCCTCTTTAATATTTTTACATATTTCTTTGAGACATGATGACTTAATTTGTGTGTTGTTTTTTACTTTTTATTCTTTTACAAAGTTTTACAAGTTATATAAAACACACGTAGTAAACAGCACAATGTTTTCCTATGCAACATCATAGTAAGTATTGCAGGATACCCAAAAGGATAACCTTATAAATAGTATCGGTTCAGTTATTATTTTGAAATATACCAGTAAAACAGAGTTGTTTAGTGTGGGGTTACAGCAAGGTTCACAGTCCACCTTGTTCACACCTCCCCCAGTCATGTGACAATGCCTAGCAATTGGTTGATTGACCTTGGCACCCCTACAAGAGAGGGTGTCACATGCTCCTTCATTCTTGAAAGTGCCAGGTATTCTCAACGGCTATGGAGGAGCAAGGAGCCTCGAGTGAGTGCAGGTAAGGTGAGTATATGGAGT